ATCTTCTAAATTGATCGACACTAACAGGTCGTTTTCTCTTTAGTCTTCTAGGTCGTAGAGGACTTCTGGGTCGAATAAAAACCCAAGAGAAAAATTGGGCATTTGGTCCGCCATGTTACAAATTGGTAGATGGCGTGACGGCTTCAACTCCATGTTCTATACTCTGATAGAGCACGCCCTTTCAACCAATGACAGCACGCGTTATATCTGAACTTTATTATAATTGGTTTTTAAGTAAATCAGCGCGACTACTTGTCTGAAATACATCGAAGAATTTACCCAGTATGTGTAAAATTTACATTTTAAAATATTTGCTTGAGAAATGTGCCTGAAAGCCCGTGCCACTGCTACGTTTGATATGAAAACTAGAATTCCTGAGTCAATATTGCGCAAAACATTCTTCGCGATGAAATGACAGTTAGTATGACCTAAGATGTCTCAGCAATAAACAATTCCGTTGAGATGAAGAGTTTCTATCTTCAATAAAAATTTTGCCTGTTTGATAACCAGCCTTCAGTCAACAGCGCTTATCATGTAAACTTCATTAGCCGCAGGGGCTGGCTAGGTGTTCTGCTGTTGCAATTCCAAATCAGGTTAAGCTTGCTGCATTCTGCCTTATATGCAAGATATCACGGATGGAATGGCGGAGTTTTTTATTCACCAGCAGTAAATCAGTGGGTCGAAGAGTGAGCCTAGCAGAAGGAAAGTGAAGAACCACGACGAAATTACGTACACTAAACGCGAGGTTCCACTAAGTCATCCAAACCAGAAGCGCAACAAAGAAGCTCCGTTGTAGGCAGATATGAAAACGTCACAGCTGCTTGGATGATCCCCAGGGTTTTAGCTGCCTTGTTACTCTTCCTTAGTTTTCCGGCTTCTTCGTTGGGTAACTGCTCAATTTGTAGACGGCGCCTGTGATTTTGAGCTTGTAAGAAGATAGATGCATTGATATAAATAATGACATTTATTACCAAAGGGAAGGAATTAATTTATGCAGCCTGCGCCGCGTTTATCATCCCGGATGGGTTACATCCGGAACTTATAATGGCAGATACTCAAACATCCGAACATGTGATTTCGGCCCTCTTTTTGTTAAGCTTCGGTGCAGGGCAAACATTTTCCCACCCTATTAACCCGCCCATATTGTTTTCGAGCATTCTCATAGGTACGTCGAGTTCTCATTCGATGGGTGTTTGCCCTCACCTTTGCTGGGATTAGGTTTCTATTCCCGGTTTTACTGTAACTTGATTTGGCATTAAGAATAAATGGCCGCTCAACTGAGTGGCCAAATTACGGAAAATAAAGGTTATCCGTTAATTCTCCCAGCAAACCGAGCTCACCCCTAGCTAGGCAAGCGAGCAAGAGGCATAAATAACAGTAATGTACATAATAAATAGAAAGCACAGTAGCAAGTCAGTGGCAGTCAGCAGATTCCAGTATATGTCTGAGTCAGCAGTTGTGAGGACTAGGACGATCATGTTAGTTGTCACGATTGTTGTAACAGCCCAGGCCGCTAGTATACCAGCAATTATTCTCTTCTTCGTGACGATTCCTTCGTATCTCAGAGGAAGCTTGATGAAAATATAGCGCTCAATACTTAATACGAGGTGGCCAAATGATTCCGTGAAGATCGATGAGCTTCCCATCCCTAATATGGTATCGAACTTAAGAAAAGGGCTGGATATTAAGAATATGCTTAATTTCTAACGCCACGAGCAAGTGTTGAACGAGCAGGCCGACCAGTAAGTCAGACCACGCCAAACACGCAAAGAGGATGCTGTAGCATGTCCTCAACTGCGGTTTTATTGCAATGATAGAAATGACTAGCGCGTTCAACGGAGTGATGGTGATCGCTGAGACAACATCGATACTGGCAACAGCGACCAGATTGTTGTACTCGCTGTCTGTGAGGTATCTTCGCTGCCAGGCCACATAGCTAAGGTGATGACCTGATGTTCGTATCTGAAAACGCGTTCGACATTTTTCGAGGGTGGTCTGTGACATTCGAGATCGAACGATGGCCTTTTACGTCTTAATGTATGGGCAGCTAAAATAGGTTTTAAGTGTCTTCCGAATCAAAGCATCTGTTTTAACAATGCGCATTATATTCCATAAATAATATTGTTTATGAAATTATCCCTTTTCACGATTCCTATTAAACATTTATGTGGATGGTTTCGTTTATTTTCACAGATCATTTAAATAAAAACATAATAACTTATTAAAAAATTAAAGGGGTTTTAAGGTTGTTATTATTTTCTTTGGAGCTCCATGATTTTCAAAGCATTAGGATTATGCTTTTTTGCTAGGTTGTTTTTTTTTTCCAGAAAAGAAATTAACGATTGCTTTGTTTATCGTCGTGTTTCTTTATTGTCGATTTTAGTGGAACTGAACTATATTTTCAATCGTGAGTTTCTTCAAATTTGTTTAGCAGATGAATCGATTCTTGTGAACGGTCATTTTTAGTAGTTATCAATGAAACCATCGCAAAAAAAATTGACAAATTTTAACCGGTAGTCAATTAATCGATATTTCGAGATACTTGAAGCTTGACGATTTTCCTGTTGTTTTCAAGATCTTTTCTAAGTTGGCTTTCAAATCTGTGTCCCTGAGGACACGCCCTCTGAGCTGAAAAACGCAGCTGTTTGCCAGATCTGCTCACAAGGAAACGTGTTCAAAGGTCATGCTTGTTTCCAATGATTTAGATCTTTGAATTTACGTGCCCTGATTCAGGTTTTTAAGATGTTTTAGTTTAGCTTTCTAAGCTCTAGTAACGAATTCTCAGTCATCGAACTCAACCTTTGTTAGCTCAAAGTAAAGTGAATTTCAAATGTCAACTCCCGATAGCTGAGACCTGTAAAATAAATTGAAAAAGGTTAACGTTCGATTTATCTGTTGTCGAAAATAATGATGACTGGTGCTTACGGGGTCTCAATAGGCCGATGGCTTTTAGGGCTAACGGTTGACCCAAAATGTCACATAATGACACGTTGTAGGGAAGGAAAAAATGTACGGTTAACCTTTTCTTATGACCAAGGGTTAAATCTTGTCAATTTTACGCCAAACGGCTAAATTTTATGGCCGTGTACGGCTAACAGTTAACCCCGAGAGGAAGACGAAGAAAATCAAAGAAGAGGAGAATCATTGCTGCCTATGGCACGACTGGAGAGTATGGTGCAAGGGATTAATTAAATAATAAGATTTGACTTAGCTGTTTGATAGTCTGCTTTTTTTGGGCTTTTTTTGGAAGAACTCTTTCTGCGATTTTTTCAGCCTTTGTACGAGATTTATAATGAACGATTTCTTCAATTGTCGCTTTATTTTTAGTTTGGGTGCATGTGCTTTCAGTTATCTCAAGATGAAGGTCGGGAATCGAAGCGACCATCATGAATCATTTCAAAACGATAGGACCTCATCTTGTTTTGAAGAAGAATTGTACACGGAATATGTAGAGATAACAACAGAACCGAAAAGGCGTTTTGTGACCTAGTATCTGTTTTTGTTTTGGTAAATACAAAACAAGAAAAAAACCTACTTTCCGAAATGTTTTTGGGCTTCAAGGATTACAACAGCCGCCTTTACTCTCTGTAGCTCCCAAATACCTGTGTACTATATTAATTTACATCATATGATTATTACTAAGGTTTCTAAGTAACACATTACATTAAAATGATACCACATTCTCCAGATTAAGTATCAAGTAACTTCTTTGATTATCTCTCTTTTTGTAAATGAAGGAGTATCACAGATATGAAAATAAATTCCGGAAATCCAATTCTTTTTTTTTTCTTTACGCCAGCATTATGGACTTAATATTATCTCGTTATCTCCATGTAAAACATTATAATACAAAAGGGTTAAGTTTCAAAAGAAACTGTGGTGGTTTCGAGGTTAGCCTTTCGTCAGAGCGATTGGCCGAATTTCACTGAGAAAGGAGCTGTTGAAAAGAGAGGATGCACATTGACGGCTATCGGAGTTTACTAAATTGAATGATTTTTATTTCCTCATATTAAAAGGAAATAGGGCATAACGATGAAACATCCCGCTTGCCAAACATTGGAAAATACTGATTTCCTTAGTTTTGGCGCCTTCAGGAAAATAGGTTGACACATGTTTAAAGCAACAATGGAAGGGGAGAAATGAAATGCGGATGTTACTCAGTCTTGTCGAAAAAAGAAATAAAATAAATGGTAATTTATCTCTTTCCAAGCACTGCTTATATGTTGAATGAAAAGAATTTTGCACAGTTCAAATCATTTAAAAATGTCGCAGTTTTACAGCGCTGATACAAAACAAAACGTGGGAGGACTGTTGGTTTTGACATAACCGCAGTTAGACTCATATATAGGGAGCCAAGGTTTTGTTATACTCACGTACTGTTTTCTTAAGGGGAGACCTTACGTCAGCTGGAATGACTTGTTTATAATTTGGAATTTTTAATTGAATTCATCCAAACCGTGATGCAACTGTACCTTAAAAACGAGAAAAGGAAACAATGCAATACACATTTTTTCAAAAGATGAGAAATTTTATCGAAGACTGAGAAAATTCGTAAGAAGAAAAAAAAAGTGCTAATTGTCATAAAAAGTATTGGCAATCTGGCTTCCACGTGTAAACTCGAAGAAACCATCATAAAGTCAAAATGAGCAACGTGGTTAATCAAAGACGTGGTTCTTTTAACGAGCTGCGAGACTTTGAACTTGTTTACATTGCTCTTATTAGTTTCCTTCACACGTTGGGGTAACGCAAACTTTCCTTAACTCAGGTCGTGGGTTTGTTTTAACAGCTCTTTCCTTAACCGTCAATTTTTTTGACGTTAGGATTTGGCAAAAGCTGACAATTTATAATTTCCAAACTAAATCGATGTAACAACCTTACAGCTGATAATCTACAGCCAATAGCTTTTGTTGAGATTAAATTTGACCTGCAACTCAACGCTGAGTTCTTTTTTGATTTATTCATATATCAAGGAACAAAGAAATTTTAAACAACGCAGAAAACAAAAATAATTATTTCCACGAGTGTGCCGGATGTGAAATACACTACATAAATGGATGATTCCAGAAAGAAGTTACAGTAATTTCGACCATAACAGCCTCATCTCCCCCACAATGGGATCTACATCTTCGTTGGCGCTTTTTCTCATCGTTTCCCTGCTGTTTAGCGCCTATTGTCTGCCTGTTGAAAACGAGAACGACCAATTACAAGGAGATTCTAGTAATCGAGGACAAAGAGCTGTAGCTGAAAGGGAATCCGTTTTCGAAGGTGGGGACTAATTTTTTACAAATTGCGCTGACTATCAAAAAAAATTTTTCTTTGTCTGTGATAGGGATAGCAAGTAAAAAAAAGAAATGTATTAAAACTTAAATGTATGTAAATGAATCCTGTCTGGCTTTTCAAAAACTGCAAAGAAGTGTCTTTTTTCTTATAAACAACATCGAGCCCGTAAGTTGTATCAGTTGAAATTGATGCTTACAGTAGCTACAGTTTCCATAGCTTTTGGAAGTTCTTCTCTAAAGTAGCCCTTCCTCTTTGCGGAGCCGGTAGTTTTTTTAAATGCGAGTTTCTCATTAACCACAGGATTCAGGCCATATTGGTTGACACGTTTCTAAGTTCTTTGTAATGATACGCTGAGGGTAGAAAGTGGATTGGGGATAATCTCCATTGTGGTTAAAAACAATTCTAGTTTAAAACACTCGCTTGGTCAAATCAGGATAGAAATTATTTTATACGCATAGTAAAATCCCGATTTATTTCTTGAAACCTTTATGATAAATATTGTCCCTTGTCGATAACTTGTATTCCTAATTTATTAGCTGGATCTATGAGAGTTCCAATTAGCCCTTTAGCAAATTTATCGACTTTAGCCCTAATTTCTTCAGCTCGTCCCTGAAGAGTTCATACACTCATGCCAATTCTTGTAATCATAGTTTAAATTTTTCGTAAAATCCCATTGCCCAAGGTGAAACTGCTTATAAATATCCTGAATTCTTTTATAGATCCACTCGTAAAACCGATCAAAGATCGTTCGCTTGTCCCTCGCTTCCCTCCATGTGCTAGATATGGCTGTGGTAAGCGGGCTCTACACATTGGTAAAGATGCAGACCCCTATAGTTCCTTGGAAACCAAGATTCGTCAATTGCAGCGTAAAAGGGAAGGAGGCATTTTCCCTCCCTGCTCGCGATATGGCTGTGGAAAGCGGAAATAGAACTTCTAAATGTTATTCAATCAAGTAAATTAATTCAAAAGGTTTGTCAGTTACATATATTTCTCTTTCTGACAATAATTAACAATAATTGCTGATTGCTCTGCAGTACCAAACATTTAGCTTGGTACGGGGCAAGTATTTCAAGTATTTATTTACACTGCAGTATTTCAACAATTGAGACTCGATGTAACAACCATCTTTAAAAGACTACCACGCGATTTACATCAACATAGAGGCTATCCGAGGAGAAAAATGTCGACAAATAAATGCAGGGGTTCTTACAAGGAAAACTTTGCTTCCAACTGTGTTTCGCATCCTCAAGCTAGAAATCCAAGAAAAACAAATACAGACTATCACTAAAAGCATTGTCCAAAAAGTAACATCAAGTCGTTCATCGGTATCTAGCGCTACAAGTTATTCCGCACAGTGTCCTTACATGCAAATCGACCGTAACGCTGTGACAATCGACACCTTATTTAGGAAACAGCCATTATATACCGCAAGGGGAATGATTTTGGTGGGATCACATGGTATTCAGGGGGAACGGAGGGGTGTATCAGTCGTTGCAAACAGAGTATAAGGGGATGGGGGCTATAGAAATTTGACTGCCAATTAACTTCAAATGAGAGAGGAGGAAAGTCACATAGCCTTATGGGATATCAGGTAATTATTATCGTGACAAAACCATAATCCTCTGTCTCGTCCCCCCAGGCGATAGATAATGGCCAGTCACTTAGAAGAGCGTCCGAGGATATTAAAATTACGAGGCACTAGCTTGCCACATTTTCTCCTCTTTAATTTAATCGTTTGCTCTCTATTTATCAGTGATACCTTTTTTGCTAATGTATCTCTAACTGTTTTCGCGCTCTCGAATAGCCCTTATTCCAGTTCCGCGCGCGCAGTTTAGTTGGACAGCAGAATCTTATGGTTGCGTACGCGAAAGCGAGGCTATCGGGTCAAGCTTCCCTGAAAAGTACTAGCAGGAGTGTAGAAAATATTACATCGCTGTTAAAGTTTAGGTGAAACATAATGGTTAGACACTGTATAGCCTTTGGCTGTACGAGCCGGAGTTCAAAAGAAGATTGTCGCGGCCTCGCATGGAGTTCCTTGCCGCTTTCAAACAAGGATCTTCTCCAGAAATGGCTGGTAAATATCCGAAGGGAGAACACTCCTCTAAACAAAAATTCCTATCTGTGTAGCAAGCATTTTGAGCCTGAGTGCTTTGTAAAGTCCCTAGGAGGACAGCGTATGCGACTCAAACCGGACGCTATACCTACGAAGTTTATTTTCTCCGCTGAAAAGCCACGGAGGAAAATACCTTATGACCGACAAGCAACAACAACAAAAACAAAGAAGAGTAGTGGGACTGCGAGATGTCTCAATGTGAGTAAGGATACGACTGTCGACATTAATGTCATTGATGAGCAACTGAAGAGCATCAAAAACACAGATCCAATCGTATTCAAAGATCCACTGGAATCCACAGAATCAGGAAGACCACTACTTGTAACAGCTGCGGTGGTACTAGTAGTTTTGCTCGCTTCGTTCACTTGTTTACATGCCAAGTGCTGCCACTTTTTAAGAAAATCGTCATCCCATCCGTTCTTGATGTAGTATATAACCCTATTTTATAGAAAAGGTACACAGACATCGCGATTCTGTAACGATTTATCATCAGGGTAAAAATACCAAGATTTAAATAAACATTATGAACTCACCTTTGAACTAGCACGGGTTTCGAGGCTGTCGATCCAGCACTTCCATCTTCGGCAGTTCCTTTACGATACGAAAGCCATTCCTTCAGCCTTTCCTTTGTAACATCACGAGGACACTTACCGCTTAATATTTTCACTGTCTCTTCGGCAGATAAAAATGATGATTTTGAAAATAATTCAACATTTTCGACGCTCATGCTAAATTCGACTTCACAACTTCTGTAATCTTCGAGAAAGCTTGACCCGATAGCCTCGCTTTCGTGTGCACTAATACAGGAAGCCGCTGTCCAACTACACCGCATACGCAGAACTGGAATAAGGGCCATTCCACACTCTTCTTGCCTGTAACCAACATGCAACAAGCAAGAGAATAATTCCGAGTTCGAATTTACGGAGGACTTCTCAATTAAAAATGAATTTGTTGTTGTTTTTTTTAGGTGAGAAGAATCCAACATAGGTGAGCTGATGGGAATTTGGCTCTAGGATACTGAACGTTTAAAACTCTAAAAATGAAATAGCCAAGCACCATTTTAATATATTAAAGTTAATGAGTATTGTATCTGATTGGTTTGTTTTGTTTCGGTTTTCGGAAGATCATTATAACCAAATTGGGAGGTCTCTGTTTGTTCTCAAGCCAGGGTTGTTACTTTATTCTCGGTAAACACATGTCTTCCTGTTCATGTTCTGTCTATCACTTTATGATGAACTGGTTCATCTTCTGGTTCAACTTCGTTTATTAATGTACAATCCCACCGTATACCACTGACCCTTCTTCTCACTACTACAATGTTTGTTGTAACCACGGCAGTAGCCAATCTACCCGAGGAAATTGTGCGTTTTTTTAATGCACATTATTAACACTAAACGCGGCCGAATGTAAAAGTGCCCTCTCTAAAATACTCCTTTTCGCGTATCAAACGCCAAAGTGCGGGCTGTAAATGGCATTTGCCGCCCTGATTCTGATTGCCTGCAGAGATGTCAAAAACTTCGCTCGGCCGATGAGATCCTGAGGACACCATTTCAATGCCAGAGTTGGCGCGAAGTTTGTACTTGCTCGACACTTGCTTACTTCGTAGTTTTGTATTGAACGTTTTAACGTTTGAATATTTTATTTCAAAATGGAAGAAGTCCCAAAGTTTCAGCTTTTTTCCAGTCAAAACTCGGCCTTAGACAACGAGCAACTGGATGAAATTCAGCAAAAGGCTCAAGCGAAAACCCCCAAGAGAGCAACTGAGTGGGGTGTAAAAAAATTGAGAAATGGTGTGAGAAAAGAAAAATTACAGTGGATCTCAAAACAGTAAGTCCAACCGACTTGAGCGAATTTCGGCGAAAGTTCTTCGCTGAAGTGAAAACAGAGAAAGACCAAGCATGGACTCCAAGTGCATTGACTGCAAGAGGTCAAATTTTCAGCTTGGCCATGAATGTACCAAATAAATAACCTCTTGGCTGACAGCCGTTCAATCGTTGCGTTACGACAACATTCTTATTTCAATCTATCTCCAAAGTTGAAATCGCACCCTCAGGTGAGTTAAAGTTCCTCTCTGAAATCCGAGAGGTACGCTAATAGCTTATTAACGAGAAAGCGAAAAAAGGAGGAATAGCTCAATTGCCGATGCCTATACATGTATATCGATTGACAGCTGGTACAAAGGATCACAAATTAATGCAAGAAAAAAAGCTCTACAAAGCTCTATCTGCGTACGATAATTTCATTGAAAATCCCTTTTCTGTTTAATCTTATCTAAAAAATTCAATTTGTTTCTTTGGGAGACGAGTCAAAGAATTTCCGAGGGTTGTAAGGAAGAGCCCGGCCAGCGCTGAAAAGAATTAAAAGGTTGGAGATTTTCAGGAAATTTTACAAGTACGTCACTGTTCAGAACAATGCAGCTACTGAACTGGATGGGAAAAAGCGAGATAAAGATTCTGCACGATAATTCTGATAACCGAAATCGCTGGCTCACCTGCAACTGATTACATCTTGAAAGTGATTGATAGCACCTTTCTTTTCAAGCTTCTAAATCAGCCAATAATTTAAAAATTCACATTTTTTTTGAACGCTGAGCTTGTAAAAGCATAAAGCAAAAGTTTAGTTTAGTTTTTTAGATTCGCCCACAGACTGGGACACCGCAACGCTTGCGCCAAATACTGCGGGCCCAGTAAACCCACCCATCCCTCCCCAGGGGAGGACATCCACCACACAGTAATCTCGTGCGTGGGAATTAACGTCTCCTACCCCAACCCTGTACGAGGCGGGACCTCCATTTATTCGTCCCTATCCGAGAAGAATGCCTAACCATTTTTTTTATGTTATAGAAAGGTAGCAAAATTCTTCTCAATTATTCTTAGACCTTGAGTGTTGGTTCGGCCGGGACTCGAACCCTCGACCTCCCGCACAACAGTCCAGCGCTCTATCCATTGGGCTAACTCGGCGGCGGGAAGGGGAAAGGGAAGTTTAAGGACCAAATTAACATTGAAAGGGTAGATTCGTATCCAAGCGCCAACTTAACAATTCTGCGAGGGTCCGCCGAATATGAGATGATTAACAACCTACGGGTGCTTTGAATTTACCTCCATTGGGAATGTTAAGCCGCTGTGAGAAAAGAAAAGTGAAACAATTAACCTAAGCTTGTCTTAGCCCGAGCCGCCAGCTACGGGTAACATTGCCAAAAAAATATTTAGGCCTGGGAAAGTAAACTCTGTTACCATTGATATCACTTTGGTGGGAAGGAACGGTCTGAGCAATTCCACGAGAACTGAATTTCAATTAGATTTTAGACTTTTTGTTATTCTATCCATTAGCGTCGGAAAAAATGATAGATTCTGAAACATTGATAACCGTGATAGACATTGGTAACCATGATAGACATTGATAACCATGATAGACATTGATAACCATGATAGACATTGGTAACCATGATAGACATTGGTAACCATGATAGACATTAGTAACCATGATAGACATTGGTAACCATGATAGACATTGGTAACCATGATAGACATTGGTAACCATGATAGACACTGCAGAACCGGAAATCTTGAAGCCAGAGTTTAAACAAAAGTTGGAACTGTTGAAAAAGTTTCTCTTACCAAGGTAAACTATAAATAATATGTAAGTAACTGTCTCAAGCCAAATACTATTCTCGAGTCTGGGGAAAGAACTGGATTCACCGTGTCTTAAGGAGATCCCAGTTTATCTCGGCGGCGTTCATTATCGTTTTGCATCGGGAGCTGAAGAAGAGGAACAGACCTTAAAAGTCATGCATTTCCATCGACTTTTATCGACTGCTAGGATAAAAATATCTAGGATGCAATAAGGCGGCGCTACTCTAAAAGCTGTTTAGGATATTAAGAAGGGCCCGACTGTAATCCTCTAAGAAATAAAAATAATTCAAAACATTTACAGAACAGTTTGACCAAGTGAGGAATTAGAAAAGCAGATCTTACTGTTACTAATTAAATAGCTAACCACTTCATGGACTGTCTGAATTCTTCTGCGACATAATTGTTAGGGTAAATGCGAAGTAAAGTAAGGACATAGAGGCTTTAACTTCTTGTTAAAAAATGGTCAATCTGAGAACACAGCCTTCAAACGATGCGGACTCTCCAAATCTCCAAATTTGCCGTTCAACTGCTCTTCTAGATATTTGAAAAGTTTCATAGCGAATAGGTTTAGGCAATGGATAACTAAGGCGACGATCCAGATGACGAGAATGAAGTACCGGAACAGTGGGTAAACCACTGGCGTAAAATAACCAATTGATATTTTACCAGATGATATTCCACAACCACGCAGAGAACACGGTATGATGCTTGCAAAATTAAAACAAAAAATTAAACTTAAAACATGTCGCACCTCACTAAGTTTATTATTGGTCTCAAAAAGACATTCATTATGGGTAATTAAGCTTGAGTAGGCAAGATATTGCTCCTTTTCAAAACAGTAAGACAAAGATACGACACGATATGATGCTTGCAAAATTAAAAAAAAAAGGAAACTCAAAACATGTGGCATCTCAATTAGTTTCTTATTGGTCTCAGAAAAGACGTTCATTAAGGGTAATTAAGCTTGAATACGCAGGATATTGCTCCTTTTCAAAACACAAAGACAAAGGTACGACAATTTTGTCGCCAACTCTCTTAAAATAGCCATGTTTCAACTCTTGACGATAAAACCTTACGACAAAACGTTGCTTGATAACATTGTAAAATTAAAAATGATAAATAGCTATAGAAAGCTAAAATCGACGACGTTTCGACGTTAACATAACGTCATTATCAAGTAAAGAATGTATAAAAATAAATTCTATAAATACTAAAAACGAACAATGAGAGAAAATAATTTGCGGGTTAAATAAAAAGTTTAGCACGAAAGGAGTCCGTTTGCACGTTCAGATTCGGTTTGAATTTCTTAATATAAAGCATTTCAAACACTAAAGAATCAAATTTGCTTTGACACTTTCTGATAATCTTAAAATGAC